GCGGCATTGCAGCACGGGAGGATTACGCCCAGGAGCAAATGGATAAAAATAGACCGGAGGAAAAAAAAACATTAATCGATTATCTTGCGGACGTGTCGATGCATCGGATCGTCGGCTTTTGGATCGATGCATCGATACAAAACGATTATTATTTACACCCCTACCTACTACTATGATAGCATGCTAAAGCCAAAGAAAAGTATGCTTTCTTTAGTTAGATTGGATTGAGTTAGGTCTGAATTTAGACGCGAAGATAACCGCACCAGAGTTTTATTATCTACAATTCAAGTATGGGAAACTTAAAAAATAAAATATAAATAAAGTAGGCTCTTGCAAAACTAAAAGATCTTGGGTAAAGAAGCTGCAGTCTATGGCTTTAACACAAGTTCTATGAATATAAATATAAAAATATGATTTGATAGATATAAATATTAGCTTTTAGTTTAGCTCTGGAACACGCAATGACATTAATGCAATTAAAATAAAGACATGGAAGAATGAAGCAAAATTATTTATCCATTTGCTCTTAGTTTTTATGATGGTTTGGAGCCAAAATAGAAATTTGATTGAACATATACCTTAAAATTATTACTTAAGAATAAAAAAAAATTTGTGGACAGAGATAAGGCACGCAGCTAAAGTCTCACATAAAGTGTAACAAATCTCACCAGTCTTTCTCCTGCTGCGAGTCCAGTATGGAACAGTCTCTATGGTAGAGAACGCCTCAACAGGTCCTCCGTTTACAGGCACAGTTACTGTTGTCTTTGTCACAAGGGTCTCATTTCCCTGTTGCATCAATAAAAACATTCAAAATAAACAAATATAAAGCAAAATCAGGCAAATGTGAGAAAAAATAGGCTGCAAGAGAAGTCTGTCTGCTAAGAGAGAATACATCATGAAAATCTAAGCATTTAAATTATGTCTAACTATGACAAACTGCATACCACATAATTAAGAGATTAGAATTAGAGAATTTAGAATCTCAATGCCTACCCTTTCTGAGGTTCTGCCAGTAGATCTTGATCTTTTAGAAGCACTTGGAGGACCATCAACGAGATTTCTGGAGGAGCGCTGTGATCAGGACAAAAGGTATGACACCTGTCCTTTTTCAACAACATACTCTCATTGATTACTCGGTTATTAAAAGCAAAGAAATTCACAAACAATACCCTTTTTTCTCTTTTCTTGAGTCGTACTGTTCTGATGTTGGAGGAATCCCAATCCTACAATAGGTTAGGACATTTTTTTTAAGTCAAGGCACAAAATGTATTAAGTCGCATGCAAATCTAAAACAGGATATTAGAGAGATCTATTCTAGAAATAATGCAAAGGAAGATGGTACTTACAAGGGAGTCATCAGTTTTGTCATAGCTTATATCTGACAAGATGGAGGCAGACTCGTCTATTGTCACCAGTCTGCGAGAAGAAACAAAACAATACTAATTAGAAGACTTTGTCAAATTCAGTTCAGTTAAAACAAATAAGAGCAGTACATTTTGTAGCTCAATATATTCTAATATCTATTGCCAGTGTGGACTTGTTCACAATGAAGCAACAAAACCACTCCTTCAGCCATATAGGATTCCATACATACAATACTTCTTACCAGGTTAAAACATCTATATAAAAACAAGGATCATATAAAAAATGTATGTTTTTAAATTGATCTATGATTCAATTGTAGTCGAAAGATTTGATTATACACATTCAAAAAATAACTGGATACCTTTAGCGTAGATCTGCTATGAATTAGCAACAAATAACTTCAGTAATGCATGTTTTAATTTCTAAAAACCAATGACACGGCAAACTACAGAGAATAAAGGTTGTAAAGTAACAGTATCAAATATCTTTCATTAAACAAAGTACTACCTCCGACTGGTATTCTGGTTGTTTGCTTGGCAGTTTGTATTAAGGAAGGCTAGAGCAGAACGTTGCTCAGCACTCAGCTGGATGCTGTTGGTGGATCCCTCACTGGTTAAGAGCTCCCGGATCAACTGAATTTGACGATCCTGGATGCATTTGAAATATAAAATTAGGAATAAATAATAGCTGCATGAAGGCAAACCATAAAGACAAATATTAGCCTTTTAAGTGGCAGTACCAGGGTCTCACAGTCAGCCTCAGCCTTCTGTCTACGCCGGATTTCCACATCCACTTGGTTACGGGCATGCTTCAGCTTCACATCCAAAGCTCCCCTCTCCATCTCTGCTTTTCTCAGCATGTCCTGGCAGGATCCCAGCTCCTCCAGAGTCCTCGCCCATTTGCGACGGCAGTCCTCAAAGTTCTGGACCATCTGAATGAAGCCTATAATGGAGATTTAATATTTCACAACAGGGACATACAATTAGTTAAAGCATATGCAGCAAAACATTAAAATTAAAGTTATATAAATATGGACCATAAACCACTTACTGGGCTCAATATTCTCATTGATAAGCTCAACATGTGTCCTCAGATTATCATAAAGGCTCTGGAGGTTTAGCACCGTGGTTTCCATCTTGTCCAGCAGTATACCGTAGTAGCCCCTGAAACAAACAACATCCTTCTACTTGAGTGGGTCGATAAAACCTAGTTTTGAGGTAGGCTTTGCCTATCAAATAAATACATTTAATTACACATATTTTATCTAATGGGGTTAACTAGCTTATTTTCATAACCGTTTTTTATCTAGCTCTGGCTAATAAGGTTTACAGTAGCGTTACAATTGTTCGACGAAAGACATAAGTAACACAACACAACGGCTAAGCTAATTTTGTTCCTCTTTCCTACATTTGTAAACAGCCGGACTATCTACAGTTACTAACCTGATTATAGAAATTCCGTACAAAAAAAGCCTTCTGGACGGTCGTTTAATTTAGCAGTCTCTTCTCATTTTCTCTTTGTAGCGGTCACCTTCTTGTCCGTATCCTTGGGTAGCCGCATCTGGTCTAAGCGGGTTTCTTTTCAAATTTCGCCGCTGGCCAATCAGTGAGCGCGATATGAGTGTCACGCTAAGGTACAGTTATGACTTCCGTCTTCTTCCTTTCAAAATAAAATCAGCATAACGGTCACTTTTAATGCAAAAAAAAAACCCTCTAAAAGTACCAAAGGAACAAATCTGTATGCATTCCACTCCAATATAAGGGTATAGATTGAATCCACCCCTAGTTGTATTGTATGAAAAAAAAAATATATTTTATATGTATTTAATGTATAAATAAAATAAAATACAACACTTCCGGTCACCACCTGTAAGCCGAACTTTTACGAATATGATTATTTTCGTCCCAAGGTTGTGGAAAACGGATCAGAATTTCCACGCTCCATGTCAAGGAAAAAGTCTCAACTAGACCTCCCCTAGCAAACATCCAACATTGCTACACAAATCAAGTCTGATATGTGGTGTCCAAATTAGGCTGGTAGTAAGGAAGGAGGTAGGAAGAGGAAGCAGGATACAACAATCCTTTCTGCCACATAGGAGCTATGGCTGTCTAACATCCTTTGGGATGTATAGGAACATCCAACCTCATGAAGTTTAATAAAAAAAAATGTATTGTTTCTTTATTTTACTCTTAACCCTTCATAGGGCACTCAGCGAAATCCTTTAAAAATCAACATTTCAAGCCAGTAGTGTTATTGGATTCCAGGACAAGACCTTATTACCTTTGTAACATAAAAAAATATGAATATTTTGATGGCAAAAATGAATGTCAACGTTATAACAGGAAACGCCAACCTGCCCGAATATTTTAAGAAAAATAACAAAAGTGCTTCTATTAGAAATTCATAAAAAACACTCAGAGAGTGAAAGAAACCCATTTTTTTTTTTTTTTTTTTTTTTTTTTTTGGTACAATATAACCTTAGAGGCATTAATGCTGATAGTGGCACTTACATTTTTTAGTTTATAAACCTAAATATAATTGTTAACTAGGCTTATTAACTTTACTTTTTAACTTTTTAATTAACTTTTTACCTTTTTTTTCTTGGCTTTTTTGTTTCCAACACATTGTTTCCAACAAATTTGCAGTAGATAATATATCGTTCAAGGGCTCATCTAATTGGTCAAATGCCAAAATAAGATGTACAGCCATATAGCAGTATCTTTGTTGAAGGGCTGGATATAGATCTTGTGCTTCTAGAACTCACTGAGGGACGGGGTGGAATTCATTTGTAAGGGGTATGCAAGTGATCTAAAATGGTAACTTGCCCTATAAAGTGTTAATGAAACCCTGCAAATGTCCTCATCTTCATATGTTTTAAGATAAGCACATTTCTGTAACAGGAGCATCTGTTGTCCCAGTTTGACCAGCATCATTCATGTGTGTGTCCACCTCATAATGACATCTGTACAGCTACAGGCTGTGTGGATTCAGCACAGCAGCCTGGAGGTCCTTTTCTATACTATCCTGGATAGTATTCTTACTGTTGACCTCATGAAAGGTAAAGGGATGGGAGCTAGGAACAAGAAGTAGAAGCTTCTGTTTAAATTATCCGGATTGAGCTATTCTTACAACTTCTAAACTTGGAAGAAGTTTGCAAGCAGCTCAATTATTGTCATTGGAAATTATTTATCTCCCAAGGCATTTCAAATGTGATCTAATAGATTTTGTGGAAGTATTGTGTTTGTTAACAATTAATTTCCAACCTTCTACTGTCTCTAGGATCACACCAAACCATCCGTGTACTTCAACATCTATGCATCTTCTCTGTAGTTTTTCGTCTACCTCAAAATCTGTTTTTTTTTCTATTCATCATCCCATATTGTGTCCAGTAGATCCGCTGTTAGATCAGATAGTTTGATAAAACAGACTCCAGACTAATCATTACTTTCCCACACTTTCCTGTGTAGGTGTAATGTTGCCTTCTTAGATGTAGACTGTTCATAATTACACTAAGTCATTACTACATGACAAGTTAAACTATAAGTACAAGAAAGTTTTTTACTAGCGTTACTAAAGGCTGATGAATAATCAAATCTGATCACTAACCAGCTAATGGAGCACTGTAACTCATTGCTCTATATGTAACTGAGTTAAATCCTTAAATCAAAACCTAGTTCAGTCAAACTACAGTTTTGTAAACTACAAAAAAGTACAAAGTATTGAGAAATTATTTAAATATCTGTAAAGTAAGTGAATCTATATCGTTTCCAACCCTGACACTATGCAACACTAGGGGTTGCACACTAACCTAGGGGAAGAACTGTACAAAAAATATTTATAAATCAAAAAGAAGGAGTATCATATGATAAAAAATGGAATAAATGATGACATAAAAGTCCAGATGGGTTTATAGTCTCAAAAAACTAAAAAGAGAAAAAATATTTATAGGACAGAGGAGAAAGGAAGGAAGATTAACAGAAGGACTAAGATTTAATTTAATCGTGAACTGTTTTTAAAATTTTGACTACTATGGAAACTACGAAATAAATGTTACAAGTGCTGCCAAGTCCTGTTATAGATTTTGTTTTATTGTTTCTTTATTTTTTATAAGCTGTCAAGTACATACACAAATCTTGCCTCCTCTTTAAAAACATTAACCATTTTGATATTAAGAAACTTCAATTGTAAACCATTAAGAAACAGATTCATTCTCATACTCTGTGGCACCCCCAATTGTGACACCGATAGCTTTTCCTCCCTCTGTCCCTCCATTTGTAACTAGCTCCACCAAAAAGTGTGCTCTCATGCTTGCGTGTTTTTAAATGTCATGATTAAACAAAGACTTTTGTTTTCAATCAAAAAAACTTTGATTACAAAATAAAGCTGTTCAGAGCAGAACCTGAATTCTGTTACATTATATTTTTTATTTTAAAAGGAGCTGATTTTACATATATAAATCATCTTATCCTTCTAGATCCAATATTTCTCTTCTTTAAGACTGTGTCCCCATAAGCTGATCTCCAGATTAAAACCATTTTCAGGTGTAAAAAACACTATCCAGATTGTGAAATAATAAAAAAATCTTAAGTCAGCGTTTAACATTAAATTACGTTTTTAAAATTCCTGTACTATACAGTGTTGTGTTTTCGTTTTAAGTTTTTGCTAATTTATTCAAGACCATGTAGGGGAACATTAATCTCACAAGAGAATCTGTGCCCTGCACCAGATTTTCCCCCTGGCTAATTTCCATCTGTTGTCCCTGAGGCAAGTAAAACTCAAGATGTTTTTAACATACAGATACAACATCGATGCAGATATAAACCACCATACTCCCTTACTTAATTGACAAGTACAAGACAAAGCTAATTACACATAGCTTTTCATCTTATTTCAGTTTTCCAAGTCAACCTATCTTGATGAAATAATAATCTAATCATTCCTAGTAAGATATTCAGTCTTTAATGTAAGCAACTAATTTAGAAAGAAATCTATGATGAAAGAGAGATTTTCACATTTTTTATCTATTTAGGTCATGTTACATATGGGTATGATATTAGATATATATGCTTAACAGTATTTTAAAAGATGAAAAACTTATAAGGTTCCACCACAATGCACATAAGCTCATATCCCCTAAAAGTTTTATTTACATACAATAAAGTGAAAAAATCAATAACTCACAATAAACAGACTAACATCTGCTCTTCATTGTTGACCACACTGAGTATATCAAGAGAAGATTCAGAAAACCTGATAATCTGCCAGACATGATGTGGTGCTTAAAAGGTTGATTTAGTTTGTGATGATAGACTGAACTGGAGTTGTAGGCCAAAACATTGGTAGCAGACTTAAGAAGGTAGATGACTGCTGAACAGGCAGGCAGATGGCAGGCTGATGGCAGGCTTTGAGAAGGTGGATGACGACAGAGCAGGCTGATGACAGGCTTTAAGCAGGTGGATGACAGGCTGAGTAGATGCTTTGAGCAGGCGAATAATGACTGAATAGGCTGATGAAAGGCTTTGAGCTGGTGGAGAAGAACTGAACTAGCTGATGGCAGGCTCTGAGAAGGTGGTTGACGACTGAGCAGGCTGATGGCAGGCTTTGAGCAGGCGGATGACAGGCTGATGGCAGGCTTTGAGCAGGCAGATGACAGGCTGATGGCAGGCTTTGAGAAGATGGTTGACGACTGAGCAGGCTGATGGCAGGCTTTGAGCAGGCGGATGACAGGCTGATGGCAGGCTTTGAGCAGGTGGTTGACAGGCTGATTGCAGGCTTTGAGCAGGCGGTTGACAGGCTGATGGCAGGCTGATTGCAGGCTTTGAGCAGGCGG